ATCAGTCGAAGTATATCAACATTCCAGAATTGATTTCAATTGTTTATTACTGATAGAAAAATAATGCATCAACTATGAGAACCTCCAATGCATATCCCAAATTCGAACAAATTTTTAAAAGATATAGGAAATTTTATTTTCTCTTAAGAATTTTTTCAATTAATGTGTATATGTTTTCATATGATTCAGTGGAGAGAATTCCGCAAAATCGAGTGATGAAAAAAAAAACCATCGTACTATTTTGAAAACTAAAAAATGTTATTAGCAGTAGTTTATAAGTAATTGTATCTGGCATTATTAGAAACATACTTTTAATAAGAATAGCGGTTCAAGAATAAGCTTAAGTCTAAGCAACTAAAAAAAAAACGACACTTGACTTTACTATTCAACTTTGCAAAGTTCGCTATACTTAAGGAATAGAAAGTATCCCTTGCCATTCAAAACATACTTGTTATCATGTTGGATCTTTTAGAATTCCAAACGAACGAGCATAAAATATATACGGTTTTCATGAACACAGTATTCTTTCTAAGATAATAGGACGTGAAGGAGTTGTTGAGATTCATTACAATTTAATTAAGATTTATATCATATACACCAAATTTTTCAGAAATTATTACGTTCTTTTTCCCGGTGAATCATCGGACCACTCTGAATATATGATGTTCTCCAATTATGAAGATATTTCATAGATATCTATACTGAATTCAGTTGAATTTTAAAGATTCTCATTTCATTTTAAAATGAAATGTTTTTTTTTGTGGAGTAAAATCCAATAGATCATGATATGAAATAAGTTGCTTTTTCTTATTAGGAACAGGGCTTCTAATATCGACAAATGCAGTAACTTGCAAATTAATGCTAATTATTCTTTTGGTTTGCAAAATATTTCGATGACTTTTATATCTTTTGATTTGATAGACTTTTCTGCATTGAATTAATATAACAACATCTATAGATTAAGACTCCTTCTCCACCCTCAAAAATCAATTTTGGACTAGATTCAGTCAAATCGTATGAAATTTGCAATTGATGTTGAAACTGTAGTGAAGAGCCTCTACTAAAATTTCTAGTCATATAACATGACTTTTTCATTAAATATTCAATGAACACGACTGAGAAAGCTCACTTGACCACTAAACCTTCTCTGTGGATCCTCATTCTATATATTTCATTTTGTGCCTTTTTGTTTGAAAGTGTGTATCAGACTGCAATTCTTGGTAGCATCCTATTATTTTAAACTGTTACTTTTTATGCAAAAAAAATGAAAAGTTCAGTATCTCGAAACACTCAAAAGATGATGATCGATTTATAGAAGTGCTTGTTTCATATAATAATAGAAAATCTCAGTTGAAAAAATCTGTTAGAATTTTGGCATGCACGATCAGAAAAATATCAACACAGAAAAAAAGCATCTTTTCAAGCAGAGAATGACGAAAATTATCCGTAAAAATCACGTACTTGTTATTCCACCATGCTGTTATCTTAATTTCGTTGTTCTGACAAAAATAGACTTTTTTGATGATGATGAGGTATTAATTGAAAAGTCTGCTAGAATTAAAGACATTGACCATATATAAAATTGAGTAAATCTAGTATGTATTTTACAGTAGAATGTTTAACACTTCGAACTTTATAAATATAATGAAGAATTCATTAAAACATCTTGATATTTACTATATCTGACAATTAGCAGCTGTGTAGTATAATTCATATAATATCTCAATTGTTCTTATTATTTCCGGTGAACAAATCAGTTAATTTTTGAATTATTTATCTTGGAAATCCTTTCTACTATTCCTAGTTACCTTAACCGATTCAAATCATTTTAATCACATGAAAGAGATTATTTGTTCATCAAAAGAAAAAGTTACAGTTATGACACATTTTCATGTCAATCGATGCAAATAGAAGATCGACAACAAAGTATAGTATAACATGTAAAAAGCATATAATAACACTGAAGTGTGAATTATGATGCTCTATTTTATTCAAAAATCTGATCTACAAATAATATGACTCTATTATTAGAAAAGAGTTCAAACAAACAATGTATTACAATAAACGATGTGCTGATAGTTATGAATATCTCTTATCAATGAGCACGTACGAGATTTATATTGATCAAGCACCCATATTGTCTGCTGTTTCATAGACAAAACGTGTTGATCATCGATCATCGTTTCTTTTTATATAAAGACATGACGCTGAAAAAGAGCAACATATCATTCAACTGCACAAGAAATAAGAAAGAAAAAAAACATAACCAACGAATCACACTCTTTCTCTCATTATCTTCAATCTACTAGTTAATTCATACATTTCATTAGATGAAGATGAATATATTTCTGTTTCTACAATTTGTAACTGTATATGCTTTATCGCTTTCGAAAAAGGTTCCAATATTAACAAGAACTGATCATCATGTATTTGCTAATGTTAAAATTTATTCAAATTTTGCTGAAATAATTCAACCACTAGGTAAATTGCCACTTGAATTTTCTGCTGAAGATTGGTCAGATATACGTTCTGATTCAATTACTCTTGTTGGTACAAACGTTACCATCACACAACAAACAATAACTGAAAAGAAACATCCACTTAATAATCTTCAAGTTTATGTTCGTTCTCCATCATCATCAAATACAGAAACCAAATTTCTTCAAGCAACAATGATTGATGAAAATCGAAATCTAGTTAAACTTATTGATAAAGATATTAGTAAAGAAGCAATTTATCTTACTGTTCAACCTGATCATATTGTTTATAATCATGAACCATCTCAATCAAAATATTATGTTAATTTTACATATGATACAACAGATGCTGTTTATCTCAGCTATCTTCGTTCGAATCTTAATTGGAAAACACGATATCAATTAAATTTATTTGAAGAATCAAGACAAGCAATTATAATTGCAATGGCTGATATTCGAAATGATGGAAAATCAAAAGTTGATATTGAATATGGTGAACTTGTTGGTGGTGAAATTAATTTACGTATGTTTGAACAACATCGATCAGAAAGATATGAAATTCGAGAACATGCTGTTATGTATGCACCAGCAAATGCTCATTTTTCAACAACACCATCTCCACCAATAGTTTCACGAGGTGAAGAAATAGCTGGTTTACATGTATTTACAATAAATCAACCATTTTCAATTGATGGAAAAACAAATTATCTTTTACCAATGTTTCGTCCACAAGTATCAGTTGAACGTTATGGATTAATTCGAAAATCATTTTTTGGTGCTGCTACAAATTCAAATGGTAAAGCTCAACGTTCATATCGTTTATCATCAGATCGTTTTCTTTCTCGTGGAAATTGTATTATACGTGAATATGATCGTCTTGTTGGAGAAACATTATTACCTGATTTAGCTGCAAAAGATAAACATGATTTTTCTGTTGGACAAGATTCTGATATTATTTATAAAGAAAATATTACTTTAATATCTTCACGTACTTATAATGAGACTATTCGACCAGCAAGTAAAGAATTCGAGGAACGAACACAATCGATTTATTTTATTAATTTATTATTAAAAAATCTTAAGAAAAATCGTTCAGTCAATATTGAATATAAACAAGAAATTTATGCTCGATCAATAAAATTAATAGCAAATAATGCAGGATTCACTCGGGATGGATCAATTATTAAATTAACAACAACATTATCAGCTGATGATGAAAAACTTTTTTCCTATAAGATTGAAATTATTCATTGAGTTTATCAATTTTCATTTTTTTTTGTTTTTTTATTGTATGTCTTGTTATCGTTTATTTACTCATTGTAAGCAACAAAATTAGAATTAAAAACTAAAAAATATGTATCTAGAATCAAATAAGATTCTCTTGGAAGTGTATTAAGCTATTAAAAGAATTGACATGACTGACGATAAAATGTTGAAAGCGGCGTTATCGAATATCAAGTATTATACTGTATGAAATTTATGAATTTACTATGAACATTGTTTCACATTTGTAAGGATAAACAAATATCAAAAATAAAAAGTAAACAGTAGAAATCAATAAAAAAATAAATTATAGAAAATCATCATTCTATACAATTGCTTGTTCTATTCGATATGGAAAAAGTAATATACATTTGTTGTTTATTTTATCATCGCTCGCAAAACAACGATGCTTCCACATCAGATGTTTAGCTTTCTTCCGCGTAATTTTGTTTCCTACTTTAATGTTGCATAGAACGATAAGTCCAACGAATTATTTTTTACATTTCAAAGTATTATAGCCTGTAAGTTGTTCATTGCTGCTTACAAGAGAAAGTATAATAGGTGATGATAAGAAGAAGCAAGAAAACGAAAAAGAGTAAAGTAGTATATTTTAATTCTTTTTCCAAGGAAAAACATTATTTTTATAAAAAAATAAATCGTCATGTAACAGTGTGCAAGAAATTTAATTAAATTGATCATTTATTCTTTTACCAAAATAATCCTAAAAGTAAATACTATTTTTCGAAAACTCAAAAACATCATGGCATTTCTGTTTTGTCAGCTCTTCTTGAGTTGTGTCAAAAGAAAAGGAAAGATCCTAGAGTTAAAAAAAAACCCTTTGAATATTTAGATTAAAATATATTGTCATGTTAGTTTTGAATCTGCTCAAATCCTGTTGACTTTTGTATAAGACAAATAGATTTTCATTAACATCACATCAAGAAAAATAATAAATTCTATTAGAAAGATATCTAACAGTTAAATCTAACCAAAAGAGGTCTATGTCATCTTCTATATTTCGCGTATTCTGATAATTGCGATCAAATCAATACTCATTTGTCCATATGACCAAAATATGATGCGATATTTACATAAGGTATATCAATAATGTATTAGCAGTTAATGTAGATAAATTGATGCCAAACAAATAGGGATAAGAAAATAATCCGAAAGACGTTCATTTTATTTTTGATTATAATGTAAAAAAAACGATCATCATATTATATTTCATACAAAAGAAGATTTATATAAAAATAGAAACTACTTTAATTGTTTTTGACGTGCTCTTTTTAATGAAAAAAATACTTGCTTTATTTGTTGAATATTAGTAGATGTTGATAATTTATTAAGAAATTGTCGAATACCAATGTAATTACTAACATGATTTAAATCAATTTCATCACACAATTGTTTAAATAAAGAATTCGACGTTAAATATTGTAATTGATCATAAGTTAATTGAAAATTTGGTGGATGATAAGGATTATTCAATGAAAAAGGAACTATGTTTTTTGCTGGAAATTGTTTCAAAATAAATAATTGAACATTTAACTAAACAAATATAAAAGATGAAATATTATGAATAAAAACAAAAATACTTCTTGAGAATTAAATAATTCATTTATTTGATGATATTGCGTTAATTTTCGCCATCGATTTTGTAATGTATAACATGACCGTCCAGGAAATAATGGTTGAATTTGAGACCAGCGAGCTAGAATATATTCAATATAGTATCAATAATTGATGAATACAGAATTGGACAATAGGGCTGTTTCGTGTTCTGTAGAGGAGAATGAGAGTTAGATTTTTGTCTTGTGCAATCGTTCAACAAGATAGGACAAGCTGTACAATGTGGTTGTGTTTTTACAGAAATGTTTCTTTATATTTTTTGCCGATACTAACAATGAGTTGTACTCGGAATAGAGAAAAGCTCAAAGTTTCAGTTCATTCAGAAAATAAAACAAAGAAAGAATCATCAGCAACATCACCGTTTTTATGGAACATATTTTTATTTCCAGCTAAACTAGATGACAATAATGAAAAGAAGCAAATCTTTTCAAACATTTAATTATTCGGCTAAAAGTGATAATTGATCGATCGAGTACTTGATCATCGACACAATCTATTCTAGCTGAATAAAGGTGCAAAACATCCTTAAACATAAATTAAGAAGATATTAATATCTTTGCCGGGTAGGGCAGGACAGAAAAAGTTGTTGTGTACTCTGTTCTGATCTCAACGAAACATTTTAGACTTTGATTCAAATTTTTAGGCGTATCTTAAAACAGCAAAGCCTTTTTAGAATAAAAGACTTTTGATCAACTCAATATCAATAGAATTTCTTCATGGTTGTATTCTTGTTCTTGGTGCTGCCTACTTTTTGTTCTTAACTTATTTTTCTTTCTAATGCGAATAATATTTGAGGAAGAAAAATTGTTGATTGAACTCAGTCAAAACTTTTTTCGATCAAGTCTTGATTGTTTTTAGACTGGTATCATTATTTATTAACACTGATTATATAGATTGCCCATGCTACGTCAATTGTTCCCATATTAATAAACATGACATAGTACTAGCTATTTCAGTAGTGTAAAAGACTTGAAAAATGAATTTAAACTGGGAAATATTGCATAGGAATCGAAATCTCGAAAGTGTTAGAAACTTTTCTATTACTAAGTACCATTTTTAAGTTGATGTTGTTCAATTAATAATTGATCTTCTTTAGATTCAAATTCTGCTTTGATATTTTTTCTTGTTAAATGAATATATCGGTGATAACATTTTGTTTGCGAACGACCAAGTACATCACATGCAACTAAGTTCCAATTGATTGTTCCACGATTCGATTGTTTTAATACACTTCGAAGAAGAGCCTATGTTTAAGAAAGAGCAAATATAAATCAATTACTTAAATCCCATAGAGGAAAAAGGCAAGAAAGAAAATATTTTGCATCAATTCAATTTGTACTTCGTCTTCGTCTACTTGCCATGGTCCTCGTCGAACATCTGGATCAATATTACGCCATTCACGGCGTACTGTCGATAGACTGCAGCCCATTTTATAAGCAACTTTAGTAAAATAGAATAAAGAAAATGAATTTTGTAATTTTATCTTGATTACTTTTATTTAATGGAATATAATTTTCATGACGATACTCTTTAATAACTTGTTTTAATTCATTGATTTGTTCTTTTGAAAACTTTCTGCAAAAATAACTAATAGAATACAAGCAGTTTATTCAAAATAAATAAACTTACATCTTATTCAAACGAGTATTCTCCAAAAACATATAACGATTTGCACACATATATGGTGAACGTTGAGGCTAAAAGAGGCAATAAATAAGATGACCTTGTAATTCATATTAAGGACTAAAACATATATAATTATGATATCATCTAAATAGAAAGTACGTAATGTTTGTGCAGTTATTATTCAGAAGAGATAAATATTCACAACGCAATAGTTTCTCTTCTCTATGTCGGTTCAGAACACTTAGCCTAATGCTGGTCGTTTCCCACATGGAAATAGGATATACATTGTGTCAAAATAGTTATATAGAACTATAGAAGCCGTATTAAGAATAGCAATATCGCAATCAAATCTGAGAAAAGTCAAACAGTTCCTTCTTCGTTCAAACTATGACAAATATATTGTGTCATGAACGAAAAAAGACAGAAGTTTATGCTGTGAAGCATTCACATTCTCCTTATATGAAACTTTTTTATTTTTAAAATACGATCTTCTTTTCATCGTGCATGTACATAACAGAAAAACATGTTCATAAAATGTAATTTCATCATATTTTGCAAGTAGGTTACATAAAGTTCGCAATAGCCGCTTTTTTTCGATTAGGTGTTTTCTATCGATTTTGTTCGAGAACTCCATTAGGTCTTGGTAGACTCGATCGGGGATATGACGTTCTATGTGTCTTTTTGTAGTACCGATACTCTCAAAATATAAGAATTATCTGTTATGTCAGTATATGTTCACTACTTATTTCGTCACAATCACTATATCTAGATGTCGATCAAGTGCATCAGAACTCAAAAACCTTTTTTTTCTTGAATATTACACAACGAGCAAAAGTTTTAAATATTATAAAGGCTAATAAGCACATAAAAATGAGTTTGAGAATAAAAAGCATATAGACAAACAATATCTGAAAGAAATACTTTATTGTAAGGTTTGAATAGATTTTTTCTCAAAAATAGGAAAATACACTTTACAATGGAATTTCGACGCGTCTAATATGGTTTGTCTAGAACAAAAACGCCAGCGTTCATCCTTTACTGTTTATGTGCGAAAGCCCTGCATGAATATTAAATAGTACGTTGACTTGAACTCATATGGTTGATTTCAACACTTATTTCCGTAGAATTTCTACCGAAAAAGGGAAATAACGTCAGAATACGGTGAACATAGTCATATTTGCCAATCGGCTCACTCCACTATGATTGACTCCAATTAGTACTCTAAAAATCTCCCCAGTCGATCAGAGATGCTATTCTTACTCGTATTTTTTAGTTTTCTGCTACAGACCAAGTTTAAGTCAATCAATGGAGAATAAAATAAGAATTAAAAATTACGTTGATCAAAGAAAATGTTTTGGTGATATGAAAACAATAATATCCGTAATGGTACTTACAAAATTAAAAGCAATGACTTTCCATTGATCAGCATGTGCACCATATATTTGAACTGTATTTATCAGCAATTGATCCTCTTCCAAAGACCAATTTTGATTACAACTAATAACTGGTAAGCAAAGTTGTTGCCAAGCATGCTGACAACGTTGTTCTGTATATTGATTATTCATCTAATACAATAAGAAAAGCCATTTCAAATTAAGTCAAAATGAAAAATATTTTTTTAACCAATATTTCACATATATTTGTCCAATCAATAGATCTATCTACATTTTCTTCTTGAATTAGTTCTCGATTGGATAAAGTTCTAAAGAAAATATATAAAAATACTAAATTCAAAAGAAAAAGAAAAATTTTACCGTAAATCATCAAGCATTTTTTTAGCAATTTGAAGTTCTTCACTAACAATATTTATATCACGTGTTGATGTTTGCAGAATTTCAATTCTAAAATAAATTAATTAAAACCTTAATAAAAAGACATTTTTTACCTTCGAATTAATTCATGTTCTTTATTTTCACGAATATTTCGTGCAACACTATCAATTAATTTTTCAATTGTTTCATTTGAACCTGAATGTAATAAGAAAAAAGTTTCTTTGAATACATTTAATTGACACTGATTAACTGACTTAAACGTGCTTTTTCTTCACGTTGCATCATTCGACGAATATTTTGTATTGTTTCATTATTTGTCTAAAGAAAAAGTTCATTTTTTTATTGATAAAAAGAATTTTATTAAGTTCATTTACTGTTAAATGATTTGAAATATAATTTGTATCAATTTCAAAAACTTGTATTGGAAGAATTTCATTTATTGATTGATTAGATTTAATCGAAGTATTCTGTTAGAAAATCAAATCAATATTAAGAATTATTTATTTTAGTAGAGTTACAATAGATTGACAATGTTTTGATAATTGAAAAAGATTACGTTGATAACATAAATTAAGTGCTGTAGCAAATGTAAGAAAAGATGAATGATCAATACGATGAGGATTACTATTTAAATTTGCTACAAGATCATAATAATTCGGAGATTCGTCAATTTGTTCATTTTTTATTTGTTCTTCATTGAATAGTGTTGAAATAGCTTGTGGAAATGCTATAATCAATAGAAAACATAATTATTTAGTTTATCAATTTACATTAATAATATACATAGGTTTTCGAAACTCCGTTTTATGAGTTACAGTCAAAAATTTTCTGCTTCACGCTAAAGAAAACTTTCAGTGGAACATATTGGATCCATTCGATATCTGTATCTGATAGGTTATCTATTGAAAGTTCGAGTTCTATTCGCATAAAAGGTGTTCAATAAGTTTTGACTCGCTTAATCAATAAATTTATTATTTAAGCGGGTCAAAACTTAGTAAACACCCTTTAATCCCAATGCGATAGGATTTCTTCTCTATTTCGTAGGGTCGGAAACATCTTGTAGACCTCTATTTCTAACGAATAACCATTTTGATGCAATAAAGACAAGAATGATAGCTCAAAATTCTATCTCAATAAACTTCTTGTTGATTTTTGGTTTGAATCAAGCATTTTGAAAACAATAGCCACTAGCTTTAGTTCATTTCTTTTCGCTTAAAATCACAGATCACTCAGGCATTTTTCGAATTACGACAAAAAAATGACTAACTTCAAATAGAATGCAAGATCTATTTATTCTCTCGTTTTTATCAATCTACAATAAAGTCTTTTCTGCAATACATTCATGATCATATGCTTACCAGCATTTAATGCAATTTCAATTTCAACGTCATCAACACGAATATTCAAAGCTCGTTCAATTTTTTCAATGTCACTTTTAATAACATCAGCCATCTAAAATATAGATAAAAATGTTTTACCTCTTGTAACAGAAGCATTTATCTTTTAAAGGCTCGTATGCATTTATAATATTTTCTGTAATTGTCCAAAACGGAAACACCCAAATAACAACAAAATCTAGTAGTACAAGAATACTACATGCACGTTAAAGAAAACGATCGACAAAACCAATTATTGAATGATCAAGACAAAGCAGCTCTACCGAAGGCTATCACAACTTTTCTAGAAATGAACATAACACAACAGATGCCAATTTTGTGTTTTTTTTTCAATACTATCTTTTTTTACGCACTCCAGTCTTCATGCAAGAATGTAATCAAGGAAAATTTTTTCTCAACAAAATTTGTTAAATAATTATCCTGCGATTGATTAGATATTTTTACCGACAAATAATAGAATTTTTCTTTTAAAATTGTACTATTTTACGAAAAAGATGTCACTATTAAACGATAAATAGGCCTAAGTATGTCTTTGATGGATGAAAAGTGACAAAAGAGAAACTGCTGAGAGTTTCCACATGTGATACAAAAAAACTGAAAAGAAGTAACGTACTATTGCAACAACAAGATGGAAAAAAACAGAAAACAGACAAAAATGACATTATTTGTACCGTATTATCAAATCTAAATAAGAGAGTGTTCTTCTTTTATTTTTAGTATTTGCTCATTTTATCCTACTGTTTTCAAATGTAGATCGATTGATTATGATTACATTTTGTAGAAAATATTGATATCTTCATAGATAGAGATTTAAATATTTTTGTATTAGAAAACGTATATTTGTCAACGTAGGTCATTTTGAAAGGAATATGTAGACTTCAATATAGAAATAATAAATTTTTGGAGGATAAAACTGATAGATTATGGTCAAAATACATTAAAAATATTCATCTTGTTTCGAAACTTGACTTGATCGATCTTTGATACGCTGTCACATTCTTCGCCTGACTCTATTTTTGAACATTCTGTTGTTTACATCTTCCATTGATCGAAGATTATGATCTCCTGCTTTATTACTGTCATATAATAAATGCAATGTTGTCACAAGCACGTTTCAATATATTAGTATGGCACTTATCCATTTCTTGCACAATCAAAGCGTCTAATAAACTTGATGTTTGTATTTATTTACCTTTTAACATAAATTTCATGCAGTTATGCATTTGTCATTTCTTATGTAAAGTCATCTCTATATTTAATTGCTCAGTATTTTACAATAAATACTCAGTGAGTTTTTATTGCACGTTCAGCAGTTTTTGCTGAGTCAGAAATTAGTTTTACCATGGTAAATAATTGGAAAGGCTAGGCAATTTAGTGAAAAGGTGAAGCATTTAAGGGTGGAGGTATCGATCACTTTACTGGCAGCATTTACAATTGCAGTCACAGCTCTCAAAGCCAGTCAAGATCCACACCCTAATTGACTTTTCCATTTGATAAAACGCATTCTGCTGTGGATTATCTCCTAGTTTCTTGACGGTTTTTTTTCATTAACATGAGTATATGTCGATCTTCTTTATGCGGTGATCAACTTCTTTCTTTCTCGACCAGAACGGTTTTCTAATGGTAAATTTAATTCGTGGTTCTTTTTTTTGCGATATTACAGATGCAACCGTTCCAAACGCCTATCTTATTTCGAATATTTTTATATGCAAAAATCGACTTGTGAAAATGTAAGAACTTTGATTTTTTGACATCTTGTGACTTGGACGTGGGTGTGGCAGAGCCGTATTTGGGGGAAGGCATGGGGGATCAATCCCTCCCAACATGCTTAAATACCTGAAGGAGATACGGGTTTATTATTTTTCGCAAGTAAAAAATTATCTTTTTTCCATAGTGATCCGCCCCCCTCCCTTAAGAAAATTTCTGGATACGTTGCTGGGGTGTGGGTGTTGGTGGGCGCGAGTTTGGGTGTGGATGTGTGTAGGGGTGGGGGTGCGTGGGTGTGTGGGTGTGGGTGCGGGCGTGGGTGTGGGTGTGTTAGGAAAAATACCCACACCCATACTCGTATCCACAGCCACACACCCACACGCTCACGCACACACCCTTCATGAAACTAGTGATCCATCATCATGCAGAGAATTCTGATGCTATCATTGCATCTGCTGATTCCTTTTTTAGCCGATGTGAAACGGGAGATGAAGGACTATGTACCTGAAAAAACTTTAAATACTGATCAGGTTGGCCTGAAACTTGACCTTCAATCGACTAGAACACTCTAGTATGAGGATGAAAATGTTACGTTGGCTCGTGCGAGATCAAAAAATGCCACAGCGCACTCTTAAACTATTCAAAAAATGATATCTCTTGCTGGAAAACTTGTCGTTTCTGTTTTTCTGTGCTTGTAGGAGTCAAAGCAGAAGATGAGTGACAGTGACTTGACCGACTTCATGTTTCTTGTAGAATAAAACGGTATATCCTTTATTAGATATCAAAAACACATTTTTTTCTGCTCCGGACATTGTTATTACATGCAGTTCTCTAGAGAAGCTCACCATCTCATTGGTGGAATACTGGAGGAATCACGTTCTTCGCCCGTTTCCTCCAGCGAACTTTCTCTTGCTCTCGGTTTATTGGACTGATCAATGAAATTCAACTGTATACTCTAGCTTCAAAGGATGTAAAAGGCTAGAAATACCTGCTCATACTTCATCGCGCATTCAACCACTCGATGTTTATTTCAACAGACAATCGAAATTGATTGCTCGGCGTATTTTCGATCATAGTCAACTCGATGATATTGCCATTAACTTATCTGAACGAAACAAGGTAATACGCTTAAATTCTCTAATTCACAACCAGCTGTCCTCATCTCTGCTTATATCTATGATAAAGTATTCATGGTTCACAGCAGGTGGCGTCGATGAACATCCAGGAGATTTCGAGTCCATCAACAAAATTTTTTTTAATGTCGATGGTGGCTTCTGTCAGCAGTCGAGCTGTCACTTACTGCCCTTTATTCAATGCAGTTAATGTCATAAATATCTTTGCTTTCAGCATTTTTTCGAAGCTCATTGCTATGATACATAAATATTTTCTATCGATCTCCTTGATCGCAACATTTCGAATATAACTAGTAGTACAAAAATAATTCAATGTGTGACCGCTGTCATTTATGAAGAAGACTGATGTGGACGGTAACAATAACATAGTTTATCGGAAAACTTTTCACGTGCAACACGTTTTCGTTCGTGGTATGAAGCAGTGATAAGTGTTCGAAAACGCTGTGTTAGCCAAGAACTTGAAAATTCAATATCTCAAGACAGGAAACCCGTAGGACTAAATTCTTTTAGGATTATTTTTGTCTAGAAGTCCTCTCGAGATTCCCAAAATATAAGCTCAAAAGCTATGAATAACTTTGAATGGTTCCTTCGTAAGCCTGGTGCATACCTAACGAGGGAACGTTCCCAAGTGATTAAAAGCTTTTGAGCTCATATGTTGCCCATTAGGTAGGGAACCACTAGATTAGAGAAACCTCCAAAGGATTCGTGCCCATATTGAGATTTGACAGAGATATCGAATTTTTAGTGGATTTTTCCTGTGGGACCCTAGTTCTACAGCAAAATCATATTTTCGAATTTCGACCTGAAACTTTGCCCAAATAAAGGCTTCGATTAGAGTAGCTTATATAGAAAATTTCAGAATTTTTGAACATTGCATTTTCAAGGTATCAATTTTTGAAAATATAGGCACTTTTCTATAGATAACATGGATACTTTGAAAGATTGATACCTTGGAGATGCAATGTCCCAAAATTCTGAAATTTTTTATACAAGCTACTCTGATCGAGCCCTTCATGTGGGCAAAGTTTCAGGTCGAAATTCGAAAATATGATTTTGCTGTAGAACTAGGGTCCAGCAGGAAAAATCCACTAAAAATTCGATATCTCTGTCAAATCTCAATATGGGCACGAATCATTTGGAGGTTTCTCTAATCTAGTGGTCCCCTACCTAATGGGCAACATATGAGCTCAAAAGCTTTTAATCACTTGGGAACGTTCCCTCGTAAGTAGATCACATACTATGGGCTATTTAATTTCAGTCTGAATTTATCAAATAAAAAT